TAGACACACGGCGAAATAGAAGTAAACTGCGATCATGATCACCTGGAATAGTATTGTGCGATAACTGAAATCATTTCTACAAGGTGTTCGGGTGAATTCAGTGTTTAACGATGAGATCCTAGCTTTGTTTCAAACATCTGATGTTGAGAATTGCTAATTGTGAAGAACAAAGTTAAATATTTGTGATGTATTGATAGACTGAAGAAGAAAGCAACTGTAACTGCAAATGACTGCGAAATGAAAAATGAATCAACTGAGATTCGAGAAATTGTCTTATTGTTAGACTGAGCATGCAGCTGTCACCTGAGGATATGCGAGTGGGATTGGCACCCAATCATAATTGCATAACATTTGAAGATTTGTACGAAAAACTTTCATCTCCTGAAAATGGTAATTTTTGAAATATTTGTCCAAAATATTCAGCTTTAAAACCACAACAATGAAAATGTTGCTTTGAAACCGCAATTGTTCAATCCAGTGGATGCTTTTCGATTGCCTGTTTTTTATTGCAGTCAGTTTACTTTTTGCTAATAGCGTTGACAAAACAATTGATTCCATTTAAGAATTCTTGTTTTCGCAATTCTTTATCGATCAAATTGCAATACTGATCACAAAGCTTCTTGTTACGTTTTCATTGAATGAATTGTACTTTANGTTCACTTCTAATGGAACATTCACGTATTCAGAACATTATTGGCTTCGTGAAAAATCGCTTTCATGAGTAATTCTCATCGAAAAAACGAAGAGACTCACGAACATCAGTAAGTTTGTTCGTCATCACATCACTCGTTATCTTTCCAGCTCGTCTTGCATTGAACATATGCGTATAAGACCAATTGATTGGTACCCAGTACTTATCATAGTCCAACTTTAACGATTCAAGTTTTTCCCTTTCATGCTCTAGCATGAAGCCTTCAAAAAGATCCTTCATCGAAATATTTTAAATCAATTTGAAATTTATGCACCATTTATTCTTGGTGCTAGCGAGCAATCTATTCTTTCAGGGTTTCTCCCCAGTGGCGCCCCAAAATTCGGCTATTTTTCTGAACCAGATCATTTTGGGCCCTCCCTTCTCCCCCGAAAAAAGTCCTGGCTACGCCCCTGTTTCTCCATCATATTTAACTGCGTTTTCTTCAGCTGTTTGCTCGTTTACTCATACAATCCTCAGAGCAAATATGACTCGTTCTGAGCATATTTGTTTAATGGTGCGATTTGTGGAACATTTTCATCATAAGTTTTTAGGATTTGAGATATATTTTGATCTCAATTCTCGAAAAATCTTTTATGGTTTGAAAAACAACAAATGAAGCTTAAGAGATGTTCTTTCGATTGATTGCAGTTTGACTGATTCGAAAATAATTTGAAAAATTTTCATCGCCATCATGAATTGTATAATGTAAGAGCGCATAGTGATAAGAGATGAAGTTGTGTGATGAAATGAAGGAATGAATAACCAGCTTTCACGATAGAATCGTAAGTTGGAAATCGTTTGCGAACACCGACATTGATGTCGCGATAAACCAGTAGCTGTGATAGGCACATATACCTAACCATTGCACGACGTTGCATCTTGGTCTCTTCATCATCACCTTGCACATAATTACCAATTAGTAAGGCCTCACTTAAAGTTCAGTTCACCTTCGCTAGTCATTCATCATCTGATTAAGAAAAGTTGAATAAATTCAATCCTCGTTCGATATCCTCTCGTTGTAGTTATGGAATAATTTTTGGGGTGTCAGTCCTCTTCTCATCGCATAACTGTGTTGAAATATTATGAATTGTGCATAATTAGAGTTTATCATTCTCGGAAATTGACATTTTTCAAGTTTTGGCTGAATCTGGAGGGTGAGTTCTGTGAGGAACCCAATCAACGCCTAAAGTTGGGCGTTCAGTTTGGAATTGCAACAGACTGATGATGTGGTATTTAAAACAGAATGTGAACAGCAATGAACAATGACTTTACGAACTTCTCAATATAGCCCATATTTGTGAATATAATCGTCCATCGCTGTATAATTGTACTCACATAAAATCCCAGAATAAATGTTAAAGGAATCAGTTTCANGAACGACACGAGGTTTTGGTAAGTTGTCTAAAAATTTGATCGAAGAGAGCTGATGAAAGATTCTGCGAGTGTGAGCACGTAATCAACACGGAATATATTATTTCAAATTTAGCTAACGAGAAGAAATTTAAAAGAAAAAAGCATCAAGCATTAAGCACTAACAAACGCTGTGAATCAGTCATAATAAACGGAGATCGATAGCAGAATGCAATTATAAAGTAGAGAGTGCACCATACGAGAAGCTCTCTGAAGACGTTCTTCCAAATGCTAGCTCGCCATCGGAATAATAAACGACAAAATGAAATTGCAGATGCACGTGATATGTCCAATTGATATGAGATCGTCATCACCTGTTACTGACGTCAATAAGAGGAACAAATAATATCCTATCAACTTTGCACAAGCGACCAAATATCGAAATTTTTGCAGGCAGTAGATGTTTTGACCTTAAGTACTGCCATCACAATTGCATTACGACGATGAAAGAATAGGAAATATGATCGTTGTTGTACTCTAATGAGGTACATTTCAAATCCTGTGAAATCTGTAGACCCCGCTTCGTTACTGAGGAGAAAATTATTGTAAATTCAATAGAATCATATTTATTGAAATACTCATCAACTTTTATGATGATTTCAAAACGTCATATTGAGCAATGTAATTCAAAGTGATTAAGATCAATCACATGAATTATTCAATATAAAGAAACGATGACATAGCGATGATCTTGTTCGAAACTGATGATATTTGAAGTGTGACTAAGATCGAGAAGGACAATCATCACATCATCAGATTTGAAGACAATTTTCTTGATTCAGAATAATGAATGCGATCCGAAAACTGTCAATGATGTTATGCTATTCAAATATTATCTCAAAAGATACGACAAAGCTCGCAAAACTACCGTAAAAGTTGACTGCTATTTAAAGTGTTTGAAGCCTTGAAGCCTAGAGATGTTCCATTCTATTTGCAAGTTGAATGGAGCAATTGTTTCTTCATCCTCAAAAAAAAAAATGATTACGAACAAGAGCAACAAAAAAAGCAACAGAAAGGATCTAATAGAGAAGGGAATCGAGCGAAAATGTTAATCAAGCAATGACTTGTTGTTCCATTAACAAGCGATCAATCCGTCGCAGAAATATGGAAAAGATGCGAAATTTGTTGAATTATATATCTCAAAGTAATCTTATAGGAGTGTGGAATTCACAAACGAATAAACAACACATTATGCATATTTATTTCAAATTATTTTGCATTCATTCCATTCAAACATTCAATCACAAAATTCACATAGATTTCGATGAATTTAATGTCACCTTACTTTATTCGCGCATTCAAATACGTTTCATTCGAAAAGAATGTGACAATAACGATCCGTTCCACGTGAGAAATATTGTTTATGGCCAACTATTTCCTCAACTATACTCAAGGCGTATTATAGCGATGAAAACATAGGCACTGACAAAGAGGAGAATACTTTTCATAAAATTTTGAATGCATAAAAGTTATTTGCCTCTTTTCAGTTTCCCTGAGACTATACCATCATTTAGAGACAATCTCATCAGATTCTCTCTTTTCTTGAAAATTTGAAATGAACAAAAATAAGAATTTGAGAAAGTTGAATAATGATTCAGTTGTGGATTGTTGAATTCAGAACGAATGATAGTTCAATTGCTTCATATAAGGTCGCTATGAACAAGCCCAGCAAAGTGTTACCGTTGAGCT